AACAAGGGTGGAGGCCAGGGATACAGGTGGGGAGTGAATAGGATGGCAGAAACTGGGGGCAGGGTGTGAGGGGTCCTAAAGGCCCCCTTCTCCCTTTAGCAGGGACCGAGTGCAGAAGGAACAGCTGGCAAAGGCCATGCCCACCTTCTTAAAGATGTGTGAGCCTTACTTCTTATACCTGGAGGCTGCAGCGAGGAGCATGCCCCCCATCTATGGAGCCCTGCAGGAGCTGGTTCGAAAGGGGGTGTGTGGGGCCGTTTTCCCAGTCCCTGTGCCCCTTTCTTCTGGAGGCCCCACACAGGCCTGGGGGTGAAGGGGTTGCTTCTGGCGGGCCCTCTCATTATGCCCATCCCCCCTCCGTGCAGCTGTTGGAGATCTCCCAACAGCTGACTCTACGCCTGGAACAGCTGGTCCTCATGTATGCCTCCTTTGGGTTCGTGGACCTGGAGGAGACTGACCCCCTGAGGTAAAAGAGGAGACAAGGGATGGGGACAGTGGTGGAGTCAGGGTCCAGCCTCATGTGCCTTCCCGTGTCCTGCCAGCATCTCCTGCTTCTTCTGTGGAAGGTTCTCCATCAGCCCTTCCCACGAAGTGTCCATCTTCAGATACTGTACCCCAGCCGCCTACACCGCCAGCCACTTCCCCCAGTACCTCTATAAGAAAATGCGCTGGAACCTGGAAACCACCCCAGAGCCCAGCAACCGAGGACAAGATCCCCATGTGGATTAGTGAGTCCCTTAATCAAAGTCCTCCTCTTCCTATGCTGAATGCCATATTGGGCCTTTGAGCCAGTACCAAAGAGTGAAAACCCAGAAAACCAAGTAGCTTTGAAAGACCTCCCCACCCCACACTGGGGATGGAATCCAGGGCCCAGCACATGCTAGGTTCTACCCCTGAGCTGCACCCCCAGCACCCCCCCCCTTTTTTTAGCCCCATCCTCCCATCAAAATAAAAGTAGAATTTTAAAGAGAGCCACATCCCTGAGAATTTCAGGGCAACTTTGATAAGTTTCAATCTCATCCTCAACATTAAAGCCCTCCACAGAAAAGCTGGGAAATCATCACACTTAACTGTTGCTGTCTCTCCCCTCCCAGCTACTTCCTATGCTATCGAGATACATGGGAGGACACAGGCCAGAATCCAGCCAACTCGTGTCCCCAGATCCAGAAGCTGTGGTCCATCGGTCGATGGGTGCCCCTAGGGCCAGCTGAAGATGACCTTTATTCATGGTAGGAGCCAGGGCAGTGGCAAGGTGGAATTGGGGGGGAAGACAGGATCCCATCATCTAGGGAAGCCTCGACACTTTACTTCCCTTGGTAAACCGATAACATTTTATTGTGTCCCCAAAAGTGCTTTATGCAGACTCGTGTAACAGCCCACTGAGATCTAAAGTAGTGGCCCCATTTACAAGGAAAACAGGTGTTCAGAGAGGTTAAGTTACCTGCCCAAGGACATACAGCAAGTAGAGTGATTGGCGGTCACCCCAGGGGAACCACTGCTCTAAGTTTCTCATCAACAAGGAAACAACTTCCGTCAGGATTCCCCCCCCCCATACACCCGCAGCTGAAACAAAGCGAAAAGTGCTCCCAAGGGGCAGGGGGCGCTCACGTCCAGGCCTGTCTGTCCCCTGCCACCTAGGATTTTGTGCCCGCAGCCTCCTGGGGACTACCAACAGCTGCTGACCATCGGCTTCGAGGAGCCATCGCACATGCTGGCCACCGACCTGCTGGTGCAGATTCTCATGGGTCAGGCAGGCCCGGCCCGGCCCCCGAGCGCTGTCGGGCCTCCGGCATGGACTGCGCAGGGGCCTTGAACCTGGGGAAGAAGGTGGGGGCTGGAGCTTGACAGTTCCAAACTCCCAGAGAGGGGCCAGGGGAGGGGCTCACTCGTTCTCCTAGCGCAGCCTGGCCTCGCCTTCCAAGGGGCCAGGCCGAGCTAGCCAGTCTGCACTAAGTCCAGCCCGGTCCGGCCGGCCGGCCGCGGAGCCGGGAGTGCAGACACACCAGTTTTGTGTTAAATAAAAGAAAGAAAGAGGTCACAGGCTCAGCGTCCGCTCCGAGCGCCGCGCCCCTCCCCTTGGGGCGGGTAACCCCGCCCACTAGCGCCGCCTTCTGGGAAACGTAGTTTTTGGAAATAAAACTCTAGTCGACTCGTAGGCAAGGGGAGAATTTGGCGCATGCGCAGAGGTGCACGTGAAGCAAACCGGGAAGTAGTGGTGCCTGTCAACAACCGGAACCCAGAAAACCGCAAGTTTCGAGAGCCGGGAAATTCAACGCCCACTGGAGGAAGAGCCATAGGGCCACGCCCACCCACCCGTTTTGACCCGGAAAAGGTTTTGTTCTGGAGTGAAAGACTACATTTCCCGACGTACCCTAGGAAAAGGGCTGGCGCTCTGTTTCCGAAGGGCCCTGACAGACTTTTTCTCCGCCAGATTTTGGTTCTAGGAACCTGGCAGCTGACTGTTATTCACGGAGTGTCTGGGGCGCTCACGGAGTGTGACAGTCTCAGGGAATCCCAGCGTGGAATCTCTAAGCCCCACCCCATCCTTGGACTGGAAAAAAGATCCTGGGCTGAGAAAAGTGAAACTCACCTGTCCAGTGCAAGCGAGTGGCGGAGCCTGGACTCAGTCGCGTTCCTCCGATCGCAGCTGCTCCCCTGGGGACAGCTTTTGGATCCCTCAGCATTTTCAGAGTGGAGACCCGGATTTTGTGCTTTTGAGCAAAGCCCTGGTTTTCCTAATAATTCTTGGCACATGGTATGATCATCAACCCTCATTTACAAATGAGGAAAACGGACGTGAGAGGTAAACTGAGTCGGGATTGGACACCAAGACCCTTGCTCTTCTAGAGACCATTTCTGGCTCCATCAAGGATTTTTTTAGTCCACAGTCTAGGTCTGAAGGACTTCGAGGGGGTTCTAAAGCTCCCCGATACTGATTTGAGTTAGCTCCTCTGAGTTTTCGTGCAGTTGTAAGATTTTTTATAGACTATCCCGGCCCAATAAAAAAATATAAAGTGAGCCACATGTGTCATTTTAAGTTTTCTCAGAGACACATTTTAAAAATAACAAGGGCATCCTCACATTGCATGAGGACCCAGGTTCCAGTCCCAGCACCACGAAAATAAAAACAAGAGGTCAGATTCATGTTAGTGATATTTTTATTTAACCAAATATATCAAAAATAGCATCTCTTGGGCTGGGGTTGTGGCTCAGGGGTAGAGCGCACGCCTAGCATGTGTGAGGCACTGGGTTCGATCCTCAGCACCATATTAAAAATAAATAAATGAAGCTATTTTAAAAACCTTTAAAAAATAGCATCTCGACATGTAATCCATGTAGGAAAATTAATGTTTCCTTCTGGGTGTGGGTGCTAAGTCTTTGAAATCTGATGTGTATTTAACACAGCACATCTCAATGCAGACAAGCCACGATCAGCTGTAGACCATCTCCAAGCCAAATTCACAATATACTTACAAACTAAAGGTTTCTGCTGGGTGGCAGCAGTACTGGGAGAGGAAGGAAACAAGCTTGATTTTCTGGGTCCTGTTCCTCAGGAACTGTCTACACTCATGATCCTCAAAGTTTAGCATGCATCAAAGCCGTGTGGAATGTTTCATCACTACGTCTGGCTGGGACCCAAGGATGTGCATTCTTTTTTAGTTTTCTGGTGCTGGGGATGGAACCCTCTTTTTTAGTTTTCTGGTGCTGGGGATGGAACCCAGAGCCCTGCACATGCTAGGTAAGCACTTGATCACTGAGTGAATGGAATGTGCATTTCTAACACATCATTTAAGCATCAATGATCCAGCTGGACCAGACGCCACACTTTGAGAACTACTGATCTATATCTGCATTATAGTTCTCAAACAGAGTTGCACCTAGAAATAATATTGAGAGCTTTAAGAATTTCTGATGTCACCTGGCTGCAGTTACACATGCCTGTAATCCTAGAGATTCAATAGGCTGAGGCAGGAGGATCACAATTGCCAGACTGGGCGATTTTTTTAATATTTATTTTTTAGCTTTAGGTGGACACAGTATCTTTATTTTATTTTTATGTGGTGCCGAGGATCAAACCAGTGCCTCACGCATGCCAGGCGAGCGCGCTACTACTTGAGCCATATCCCCAGCCCCCAGACTGGGCAATTTAGCAAGACACCATCTCAAATTTTTAAAAAACTTAGAAATGTAGGAAGTGTTGGGATTGTAGTTCAGTGGTAGAGTACCCTGAGTTCAATCCCCAACACCAAAAAAAGCAAAAAACTGATGTCATCCTTGGGAGTGTGTAACTCTGTGATAGAACACTTGCCTGTATGTGCAAGGCCCTGGGTTCCATCCCCAACACTGAAGAAAACAAACAAAAGCCCTGACATCAACAAGCCCCACCCATTCCTATTAACTAGGCATAGGCCTCAGTTGGATTTAATGTGCAGGAAGTTACAGAACTTTCAGTCTACACATAAGCAGTCCTGTCCACTCTTTCCATGCTCAGTTCTTAGGAGGAGTGGTCCCAGAAGTTGAAAACAGGTTCTGAGTGTTTCCATTTCCCATCTTGGCAGCTCTGGGTCTCTGCTGCCTTCCTCTCCACATTTCCCAGAGTCGTGGTCAAGCATGTAGTCAGTGGGTGCATGATGGGCACTAGAGGCCAGCCTTTCCTGGACTACTCTTGGGTGCCAATGCCTGTAAACCTTTTCCATCTATCCATCCCAGCCCTGCCACATGTGTGTGCACATGCACGTGTATGAGAGTGTGTGTGTGTGTGTGTGTGTGTGTGTGTGTGTGTATGGGCTTGTACTGAGGATTGAACCCAGGGGCTCTCTACCACTGAACTACAGCCCAGCCTTTTTTTTTTTTTTTTTTTTTTCACATTGAGACAGGGTCTAGTTGACCTTGAACTTGAGATCCTCCTGCCTCAATTTCCTGAGTACCTGGAATTCTAGGTTGTGCCACTGGGCCTGGCTCAACCATTTTATTTATCCATATTTTACTAGATATTTGCTGTCCCTATGCATGGGATAGAGTTGGGCAGATCCAAGAGTTTAAATCAATTCTAAAATATTCCCAAGCCTCACCTTCCCTGATCTCAGCACACCTCTCTCTCTTTTTCCTTTGTGGTGCTGGGGCTTGAACCCAGGGCCTTGTGCATGTGAGGCAAGCACTCTATCAACTGAGCTATATCCCCAGCCCTCAGCACACTTCTGAGAAGCTATAAAACTATGGCCAAAAAAAAAAAATATTAACTGCATAGATACAGTGGTGCAGACATCTTGGGGAGTTCACTAACACTCCTGAACTGCACTAGGGGAAAGAAATTAATCAGGGCTTGCAAATGGACAGCCACAGGCCTTATTGCAAACAGGTATTGTTGCCACTCTTCTCCCTTCTGCACTCTTTTAAGAGCTTTTCTAAATAGTCACAATTCTTAAAAGTTCAATAGATTTTTTTTTTTTTAATGTGATGCTGGGGCTCAAATCCAAGGCATCCCACATGCTAGGTAAATGCTCTACCACTGAACTGCACTCTCAGTCCCTAGATTTCTTTTTAAATTACTGGGTTCCAGTTGCTTTTGTTTATCACTTTGTTTGAGACTGGGTCTCCCTCTCTTGCCTGGGCTGGTCTTGAACTCCTGGACTCAAGTGATCCTCCCTCCTGAGCCTCTGGAGTAACTGGGCCGATGGGAGTGGGCCACTGCGTCTGGCTTCCGGTTGCTTTCCTAAAACAGCAATTCTGACCCCACTCACTGACTTGCTCATTCATCAGAGACCCAGGGCTGCCAAGATGGAAAGTGGAAACACTCAGAACGTGTTTTTAACTCCTGGGACCACTCCTCCTAAGGACTGAAGGATGATTACCAGGAACTGCTGAAGTCAAGGAAGAGCTTGGACCCTCATCGCTACTTTTTTTTTCCAGTTACCGTTTACATCCTTAGAACAGGAACAGCCTCATACCATCTCCTCTGTCTAGCTGGCGCCCAGATCACAGCACGCCGAAGTCACCAATAAAAGTTGAAGTCTATAACCGCCCCTCCCCCCATGAGCTAGTCAGAGTGCCACATTTTCAGCCTGCGCCGCCAGGGGGCAGTAGGACCCCGGCCGGGTGGGTTTGGCCCAGGGAGGCGGAGAGGCTGGGAGGCAGGGAGGCTGGGAGGCGGACAGCTGGGCAGCCAAGTGGCCGGGCAGCAGGGAGATAAGTGTGCATTCCGCATTCCGGCATTCCGGCAGACGCCTCCTGCGGCTTTCTCTGGCCTCTCTCCGACCGCTCCCGCCCCACCCCAGACGAAGAGAACTGAAAAGAAACCAGCTTGCACAGCCCAGGAAAAACGGGGCTTTATTGCGGGGGGGGGGGGGGGGGGGGAGGTGACCCCGGCCGTCTAACAATCGAAAGGTTAGAAGGTTAGTTCAGTTAGACTAAGAAGGGTTGAACAGTCACTGTTTGTGGATGGTGGTCAGTTTCCTAGTGGAGACTAAACCATTTTACTGGTCAGTTTCACAAATTCTGAAAACAGAATGGGTGGTTGATTTCAAGTTCACCAGTACAGAGGGCTGACCCCTCTTAAGGCCTTCTGCTGAAGGGGGGGCGGGTCGGGAGGGTGGGCAGGGAAGTCCTGCTGGGCGTCGCTAACCCGGTCCTCCCACCAATATGTTAATTCAAGCCAGGGGTCCCAGCCTATTCAAACTTCAAGGTTTGCGCTCCTCCTGAGAAGAGAGGGACACACGAAGGCCACCCTTAGGGGACCCATGCACCGCATCCAGGCGTGGGGTGGGGCAGTTGGAGCTCCAAGACCACCTCCTCCCTTTAACCCACCCACCCCACCCCCGCCTGGGCTGGGCTAGGATTTCAGGTCTTGGCCAGAGTAGTGTCCCAGGGGGAGGGGACAGGGGCGGGGATGCTCTTTTTCCCTCCCAGAGTCCGAGCGCCACAGGCAGTGGTGGGAGGTGCGACAAGCACTTGGGGAAAGGGGTTCCCACCTGCTCCAGGCCGTTCTCCGAAGCCTTCCTGCGGGGGGGCCAGATCACTGCCAACTTTCCATCGCCCCTGCTCGCTGCGGGGGAAGGGACGCTCAGCCTGCTTGGCCCCTCCTTTCACCAGCTGGAGGCGGCCAGGACGAAGGAGGCCGGCCGCACCCCTTAAACACATACAGGTGTTCACCCCCCCCCTCCCCTGGGAGGCCTCCACCCAGTTCTAGGGAATCCAGAAACTTGAGGAAGGCGAACCCAGAGTGGACGCAGGAACCCGAAAACACAGAGGGCGGATCCAAGAGCCCTAGAGGGCAGTCAGGGTTTCCTGAAACGAGCCCCCACCGCCAAAACCAAAGTCGTGTGGATCTGGGAGTCGTTCCCGGTGGGGGTGGAGCACAGGGAGTCGACAGCCCAGAGGAGTGGCCAGGGGACGGAGACTTGAGAAGGGTCCCAGGAATCTGGGAGCCTGAAAGGCGGAACCCCGAGAATCGGAGGGCCAGAGAAAGGGTCACAGGAGTGGGCGATTGTTGGGAGCCGCTGGAGCTGTGGGATCCCACGCGTCGCGGCTTACCCGTGAGGCTCGGCGCGGGTTCCTTGAACTCAGTGGTACCGTAGACGCTGCGCCTCTGGCGCTGCCACTCCCGCTCGCGCTCGCGCACTTCGCGCACCTCTTGCTCCAGCAGTGACGGTGCGATGGGCGGCGGGGCGCGGGCCAGCACTGGGCACCTGCCCTGCACGGCCGAGCGCTGCGGGCCTCCAGGCTCCGGCAGCCGCTGTGAGCCCGCGCTGCCCTCCGCGGCCGCCGAGGAGCTGTTCTCCGCGGCGGCCTCAAAGAAGCGCTTGAGCTCGCCCAGCGGCTGCGAGGGCGAACCGGCGCTCGGCTCGGGGGCCGCGGGGCGAGCCAGCGCCGCCTGCCGGTGAGCCTCCCGCTCGATGTCTCGTTGCATCTTTGCGCCCGCCCGCGCGCGCCCCAAGGCGCGCGGGAGCGCGGGGCCGGGACCTGGCCGACTGAGCACCGGCCGCACGCGCAGCTCGACCAGTTCCTGGCCTGCGCGGCTGGAGCTCAGGCCCCGGCTCCGTCGCAGGCTCTCCTCGCGTTCGCAGCTGCGGCGGATTTCGCGCTCGATGGGCGTCTCCATGAGCAGCTCCGCGGCGAGCCGTTGGGGTGCCTCAGGACTCAGTGGAAATCGCAACTGGGGGACTTCCGGGCCTGACCCGGAGGAGGAGGAGGTCTCAGGGCCAGGAGCTGAACACTGCCCTGCGACCTCCGCGCTCTGCACTGCAGGCAGCCCAGGGTCGGCGCTACCTGGCCCCGGACTCACAGAGCCTGCAGCTGCGGACCGCCCGGGGCGCTCTGCGACCCGCTTGGCTGTGGTTGCAGAACTTCGCTCTCTTGCTCTGGAGCCCCAACGTCCTGCGCTGATGAGGGAAGGAGATCCTCGCCGCCCAGCCTGAAGACCTCAGTGTCCTGCTCTTCAGCAGGCTCCGGGGCTTCGCTGTCTGGCCCGGGGGGGCTCGTGGCTTTGCTCTTCAGACGACCCCAGGGCTCTGCTCTCCCTCCCGGGGACCTCGGTGTCCAGGGTTAGGTGCAGCTTGGGAGCCTAAGTTCCCAGACTCTGGGTTTTGATGCCCAGAGCCAGGATACCCTGCCCTATGAGGCACCTGTGGCCGCAGTCTCCGCCCGTGGTTCTAAGGCGTCGCCCGCGCCCGCAGCTTTGCGGACCCGCCTCTGGCCTCCGAGAACGGCCCCTGGGGGCAGGGCTGGGCACCGCCCCCGGCACCTGCCTGAAGGACTCCAGCTCCGCCCCGGCCCCGCCCTCGGGGCGGGGGCGTCTTGCCGGGGGACTGGATTTCTTGCCCTGGTCCTCTGGGGTCAGCTTAGGGCACAGAACTCCTCTAAAAAGCGTTACCTGGACCCCGCCGCTACCCAGGGGAGTCGCTCTGTGTGCCGGGTTCTCTCGCTGCCCGCACGTTGGCACCTTTTTCGTTCAATGTCCCTGGCAGAAAGCCGGGTTGGGCCTCTAAAACAGGAGTCTTCTTGTGGGGGTGTCCCCCTGATGGTCATCCTTGTCCAGAAGGTGTCTGCCGGCGGCCAGCGAAGCCCCTGGCCTCTGGGCCAGCCCCTTACTTTCCACCCTTGCGGCGCGCAGCTCTGGCCCGAGGGGGCGCCAGGATCCGCCTAAAGGCGCGCGGGGTCCGCCGGCTCCCTCCCAGCTCCTGGCCTCAGCAAGGTTCGGAATGGTGCGCTGCTGCCCTCACCAAGCCCAGCAGCGGCTTCCCTTTCCCGCCCTGGAGAGTCCGCGCGGTGTAGGCGCCAAGAGCACTCCTACACTCAGAAAATAAGGAGAGCGCTCCCAGGGAGCCACGAGCTGTGGCGGTTGAAAGACGGTCACCTTGGGCTCTGGCGGCGTTCAGTCTAGCGCCAGGGAGCAGCTCCCTTTGGAGCAAATTCTGTCATTCTAGGGCAGGATCACAGACTCCGCGCGTGTGCCACCCACCTGCAGGGACATTTTCCATTCTTCCCGCTGATCGAAGAAGGCTTTCAACAGAACCCTATCCCCCACCCCACCCGCAACACACTATTCCAGGGTGATCCAGGAGAAAGACACTTACCTAAAGAAAACGGGGGGGGGGGCTTTCTGGCCTCAGAAACCCCCAATAATCCAACTATTTTATCACCCCTTCCTGCCTACGCTTCCTCTTTTCCACCCTTTTCCTCTTCCCTCTCCTTGATCCCAACCTCCTCCCTCTGACCGTCTGACCCTGCTGGCCTAATTAGAGTCAGCCAACCTGGCTTCTCTCCCTCCCATAACCTGAGCAAGGTGTGAACCTTCTCCAATGCTCAGTTTTCCTATCTGTAAAATGGGGACGGGACGACTGTGCCTAACTCGGTTGGGAGATTGTTGAAGGTTCAAGCTTTATGTTTCCAGGGGCTGGGGTTGTGGCTCAGTGGTAGAGAGCACTTGTCTAGCATGTGGGAGGCCCTGGGTTCCATCCTTAGCACTACATATAAATAAATAAAAAGTTCCACTGACAACTAAAAAATATATATATTAAAAAAAAAAAAAAAAACTGGGCTGGGGTTGTGGCTCAGTGGTGGAGCGCTCGCCTAGCATGCACGAGGCACTGGGTTCCATCCTCAGCACCACATCAATGTCCAATAAAGATATTGTGTCCACCTAAAACTAAAAAGTAAATATGAAAAAGAAAAGGAAAAAATCTGTTTCCAAAAGAAATTGTCTCCATGGTGCCCTCTTCGCCTGTCACCTCAGGACCCCTCCTCTGGCCATGCTAAGCTGGCTCTGGGCCTGCAGCCCTATGACCTCTGTTGAAGACCTGGTTGCTGGCTCTGTCCCCCGCCGTCCTTCATCCTAAGGGTCACCAGCCTCTCCTGCTTCCTCCTGCCTGACAGGCAACCCTTCTCAGGCTTCAGATCCACATGTGCCGACAAGTTTCTTTCCCTCTGGCTTCAGCAGAAGGGCGAAAGAAGAGCAAGCCCAGGATTTTAATTCCATGTCCTCTCCCTCCAAGCCTCTTTGGGGACATCCCAGTAGCAGCTCCACATGGCTCTCCTTGGGGGTCAAGAGGGTACACAATCTACTGGGCCTCCACGGGTGACCTTTGTAAATGGTTGCTTCATTAAGTTCTCATCGGTTACTGTTTTTGAATACATGATCTCTTCCTGCTACGACACAGACCCTGAAAAATTCCAATCTCATGCTTTAAGCACCATCTCTGTGCTGGTGGCTCCCAAATTTATGTGCCCAGCCCTGGGTTTCCCCTGGGCTTTGGACTCACGTCCAACAGCGTCAGTCTGATGGATTTCCCCAAACACTTCCAAGACTGAATTCTAGATCCCCCCACCCTGCTCCGCCCCACCAAGAGTCACAACTGTTCATGCCACACTCTAGGAGGCAGCCCCGATTTCTCTCTTTCCCCTCCAATCTCAGCGAACCCCTGTGGCTCTGCCTCCAGATATATTCTGAATTCATCCACTTCTCTCACCCTTGTCCCAGCCGTCACCTCTCCCTCCAAATGCTCCCACCAAACAGAATAAAAACCCAATTTCCCTACGGTGGGCCAGAAAGCCCTGCCCTCTTCTCAGATCTCATCTTGTGCCGTCCCTTGGGTCACGTCATCCCAGCCCTCATGCTTCCCTCCAACCTCTCCATTGGAATTCCCACCGTAGAGTCTGGGCATTCTTTCCCTCCGCAGGGAATGATTCATCCCATGACTGACTCCTGCTATTCAGCTCAAATGTCACCTCTTCAGAGAAGGGGTCCCCGATTGCCCAACCTGCAACAGCAGTCCCTCTTTAACCCCATCCCCATTTTTTCTTAAGAACCCACCCTTGAGGCCGGGCTGTAACTCAGCATAAGGCCTTTGAGTTCATCCCCAGCACCAGGAAAACCAAGACCAAACAAAACAACAACAGAACACCTCCTCCTCCCCCTCAACTGCAGGTGTCACCCATCATCTTTATTTCTTTGTATATCTGTGAGTTTTCTGTCTCCCTCCCCACACCAGGAAGTGAGCAGCATTACAGAATTTTCTGTTTGTTCTACTCACCTCCATACCCAACTCTTCCACACCTGGAATGCCATCTGGTACATGAGTTGTTTAAAAAATCAGTATTTAGCTGGGCACTGTGTCGCACGCCTGTCAGCCCAGCAGCTTGGGAGGCGGAGGCAGGAGGATTTCGAGTTTGAAGCCAGCCTCAACAAAAGTGAGGTGCTAACTCAGTGAGACCCTGTCTCTAAATAAAATACAAAATAGGGCTGGGGATGTGGCTCAGTGGGCGAGTGCCCCTGAGTTCAATCCCTGGTTACCCCCACCCAAAAAAAAAAAAAAAAAAAGCCACAGAGTGTACGACTCCATTCACACAAAATGTCCAGAACAGACCAATCCATAGAGATAAAACCAATGGGTGGTTGTCAAGGCTGGAGGGAGGGGAGATGAGGTTTCCTTTTGGGATGATGAGAAGGTTCTGGAATCAGGTAGAAGCAATGGTTGCATACCATCATGAATGTGCTAAAGGCCCCTAATGGTAAGTGTTGTCATGTATGATTTACCATGACTAAAAAATAATTTAGCCACTTGGGGTGGTGAGCAACCTGTTATCTCAGCTACTTGGGAGACTCAGGCGAAGGCAACACAGGGAGACCCTGTCTCAAAAAAACAAACAAAAATAATTAATGAAGTCAGCCCGACCGAGTGGCAGTGGCACGTGCCTGTTGTCCTGGCTACTTGGGAGGCTGAGGCAGGATAATCACGTTAAGCCCAGGAGTTCCAGAGCTTTGTACTAGAATGTGGGACACAGGAGATCTCAGCCCTCAACCAGCCCCCCTCTTTCCCAACCCCCATCTCTCCAGAAGCAGGGAGCTGGGTGCGTGCTCTAGGGACACTTCATCTCGTACCCAAGCTCTTCTTCACCCCTCTGCTCACAGCTGACCCTGGGCCCCCTAAGTAGGGTCCAGTAGAGGAAGATCAAGATTTAGAAAGCACATTTGTTTGCTCTGTGCTCTTTGCTCCATGGGACGAGTCCCTAGTGGAATGTCCTCTAATGTGTGGGGCCCACATCAGGCAAGAGCTTCTTATCAGGGTTAAGGTCAGAATCCTAAAGTCTGACCGGGGCTGGGATGGGGGAAGCACTGAGGGCCGCAGGAGAGCAGAGGGACCCCTGCCCCATCCTGGAAATTACTTCCACAGGAGCAGGGCTACATGAAATGTGCAGTCAGCTGAGAGAGAGGGTGCTGGCCCTTTAAGAATGCAATGGTACAAAATAGGGGACCCTCAAGGTTTGGGTAGGAAGTTCTCCAGACCTTGCTGGTCACCACTCGCTCCTGTAACTTTACCTAAGGAGTATCTGGGGCTCTGGAGGCCACCTGGACTGAATCTCCCATATCACAGATGGGTAAACCGAGGCCTAGAAACCTGAGGCAAGATGTCCACAGTTACCCAGGCTTGCTCCAGCCTCCTGGGTCCCCTGGTGCTGAGCCTCTGGCCTCCAGAATTCCCTGGCTGGAGCAGAGGTCCCTTCCTCCCCCGGTGGAGCCAGGTCTTGAAGGGAGTCCTGCGGCTTCTTAGTGTGCATGCCATGAATGACATTCACGTGCCCTGACAGAGGACCAAAGGACGGGGAATGCCCTGGAGGGTGGAGGTCAGCAACTGCCATCTCGCCCACCTGCTTGACCGCACATGTGAGAGCATTTGCCGGAGGCAGCCCGGTGCAGCAAGAAGGCCAGCGGCTGGTAAATAATTTATCCAGATAGCTGATAGTGCCTCCCAGAACGGCCGCCAGCCCCCAGCCCCCCTCCGTGCACCTCCAGCCTCGGCCCAAACCAGCTGGACCAGCTCTCCGGGTGCCGCCCTGCAGCCCCCCTCCCACCAGCCCAGTCCCGGCCTCCAGGGCACCTTCAGGCAAGCGGGTAGTGGGTCTCGAACTCAGAGACTGGGAAGTGGGCTTCTGGGCAAGATGGCCCTGCAGAGCCAGGCCTGGTCTCCAGCCACACCCATGTAAGTGTCTGGGGTCACCGGGGCTGGAGGGCCGAGGGCCGGGCTTGGAAGGGGCTTGGGGGGGATGCTGGCCTTGCCTGGGAGCCCAGAGCCCCATCTGGACTTTCCTAAGGAAACCCAAGAGAGTGGACAGGGCAGGGGCCAGCCGCATGGGCTCCTCAGTGGCCCCTGCCCCGGAGACTATGGTGGGGGCTGTGAACTCCCCGACACCTTCTTCTCCAGGGATTTTCTGCTGGCAGACCAAGAGCCCAAAGTCCAGCCTGGGGGTGGGGCTACTGCCGGGTTCGGGGGGGGGGGGGGGGAATGCTGGGGTCCCCTGCTTCCACACTTGGCCCCTGGAATCATCCCCCATCAAATGGCCAGAGTGCCTGACATCCGACAGGAGAAATGAAGAGCTCCCCAGCTCAGAGAGACAATGACAAAATCGAAAAGATGACCTGCTTCATGAAATGGCCACCAACTAACTACTCCTGGTGGCAACAGGCAGGCTAGGGCCACCACAGGGATCTCATCTCATAGTTAGAGATAAACAGAACCAAAGGGTGTGGGGGGAGTATTTTAATATGTGAGATGGGAAGGCCTTCTAATTTAGAGAGTAGAGGGGTTCTAGGGTTTGTGAAGAGTTCTAGAAAGGGGGCTCCCCCAGTGGGGTCCCCAATTCGGTTCCTCACCCTTCTGGGTCTTCCACTACATTATTCACCAACTACAAACCTGGTTGCCTAGCAACGGGAACCCAATCCCCCCCCAGCGAGAGAGAGGCGAGGAGGGAGATTACATCTTGGGGAGAGGACGGCAGAGAAGGGACTTCAGCCCTCCCCCAGGGACAAACCTATGAGCAGGGAGTCTGGGCTTCCTTAGGGATGCCCTGCAAACATGACGACGGTCCCCAGTGGAAATCAGGATCCCAGGCTTACCTCCAGCCTCCTGGGTGCCAAATGGAAGGTTCCTGGACCCCACGCCCAGGGTCCGGTGTTTGGGGCGTGAGTGCCTCCAGTTCTCCTGACTCCGTGACCTTGAACAAGTGTTTCTGCCACTTCTCAGAGCCTCAGGTTCCCCATCTGTGTAGTATGGGGACAATGGTACTATCACCTCCAGGGAGCACTGGGAGGCTTAAAGAGGGTGCCGTGTGGGAGGCATTAAGACAGCGCCTGGCACGGGGACGAGCTCCCTGACGGTCGGCTGCTTCTGTTCGTGGTTGGAAGGTCAGCCGGCTGGTGGACTAGAGCCAGAGAATCCTGGTCGGGGCAGGAGAGGCGGGCGGAGGTGGCTGTGGGAGCCCAGCGGAAGCCCCACAGGGCACTTAGGACACTATATATAGCAAGTGCCATTATGCTTTCATGGTGTGGCCAGTAGAGGTCTGGGAAGTCCCAGCTGGAGCTTGAAGGTGAGGCTATAATGGTCCCTAGTAAGGTTAGCATCCAAATTAATAAACCTCTGAGGATTTCTCTGCACCCAGCCCTGGCTGGTGGGGACAACAACAGACAGCTCGATGTCACTTTCTAGATATGGAAGTGCGGCCAGTGTCGCAAGAGAGTCAGCACTCAGCACACGTCCATGACGATGAAGGGCCAAAGTGACAATGACAGGTTCCTAATGGCGTTGAGCACCGGTCAGCTTCCAGCGTCCAGGGAAAACCAGGAAGGAGGCTGGGAGGCAGGTGCTCTGAGCAGGACGGTGATGGGGAGGCTCGGGTTAAACCTTAAACCACAAGTCCCGCTCCTTGAAGCTCAGAGTCCAGTACTAGGGAGCGTGACCCAGGGACCCTTGTCCCAGGAGGGGGTTGGCAGGAGGAGGAGGCAGCTCAGGAGTTACCATGGCAACGGTGGGATGGCCATTTCTCTCCCCAGATTTCCTCACCTCCCAGCAGGTAAGGGATCCTGGATAGGAGGAGAGGTCCACAGAAGGTGTGGCAAGGGTGCCTGGCAGGATTTGAGGATTTCTGGTAGGACAGACTTGGAATAGTTATCATGATTAGTCATCAATAGAATCGCTCATGGGTATTATTTAAATTATGATGAATAACAAACAATGTACTATTTTTTGGAGCACTACGTCCTTATGCTTTTCCCTGTATGGATACACGAGAAGGGGAGGCGGTTCAGCTATTCACACCCATTTTACAGATCAGGTTACTGAGGCCAAGGGAGGCAATCTCGGACTAGGAGACCCGCCTGGTCTCTGTTTGTATCCCCTCACAAGACCCTCCCTTGTCCTCTGCCCTGGCTTCTCCCAGGTGCAAAGGGGAAATAGAGGCAAACCCTGGGCTCTCCTGTCGGCTACGCCAAGTTCTTGGCCAAGAGGGGAGTGTCAGAGGTCTGCTCGCTGAGGAATTGGGGGCCCTGAAAGCCCCATCCGCAGTCCCTGCCCTCTCCCCACAGGCCCATGGCCGAGAGCTCCCTCTATCGGCAGCGGCTGGAGGTCATTGCGGTAAGTGACACCCTCCCAGAGCGCTTGGTCCTGCGCCCTGGGGAACGCCCCCCAACCCCAGGCTTCTTGGTCTCCCCCAACCCCGGGAGCAAGTCTGTCACTGTGAAGAGGGGAGCAGAGTCCTAAGCTCCGGCCCTGCCCAGGGCTCTAAGCCCTCAGCCCCCTCCCCTCCCCGGCTCCTTTGTCTAGTCAATGCCACCCCAGGATGGCGGGGCTGTGGACCCGGCACTCCCAGAACCTGCCTCATCGGAGCCTCCTCCCTGAGTCGGGCTTCCCGGACAGCCCCATCTCTTGCACCCTGTCTCGGAGGAGCCTCTCCTTATGGACCTCCATCTCTCAGGGTTCCTCCTGTCCCGCTCCTCTGGACCTCCATCACACTGATCCTATCTGGGTCTCTCATCCTTCCACTCCATTTCTCTCTCCTCCCTCTTTGAACCCCATCTCCTAGAGCCCCAACTTTATGTAGCCCCCTCTGCATCCCCACCTCTGTACCATGTCTGACCACCCCTCTGTACCCCCATCCTCTGACCCCACCTTTGCACCCCATCTCTGATCCCCACCTCTGCGCTCCTATAGCTTTGATCCCTGACTCTGCCACCCATCTCCCTATCCTCCCCACGTACCCACCCCCATCTCTCTGGACCCCACCTCTCCAGCCCAGTGTCTCTGACGGACGCCCCCATTTCGGACCCCATGTCAGTAGCACCCTCCCTTGGATCCAGTATTTGGACCCCCTCCCATCCCTATGGACCCGGTAGCCGACCGCAAGGCTCTCAACCGCCTCGGACGCCCACCCCAAGGCCCCGCCCCCGGGCCCCCCCATCCACCGCCCCCCATTGGGCGCGGCGAGGCTTCCGCAGCATCCCGGGCGCGGCCGGCCCCGCCCCCGCCCCGCCCTCCCCCCGCCCCTCGGCCGGCTGCTGAGTCAGCGCCTCCGCAGCCCCCTCCCCGCCGGGTGCCCACCGCGCTGGGCCGCCCCGTGGGGCCGGGAGCCCCGGAGCCGGGGGAGCCCCCGGGGAGGAGGGCGGAGGGGGCGGAGGCTCCGCGGGCCCCGCCCGGGCGGCGGGCAGCTCCGGGTCCTCTGTGCGCAGGAAAAGCGGCGGCTGCAGGAGCAGATCCGCGCGGCGCGCCGGGAACTGGAGGAGGAGAAACTCCGCGTGGAGCGGCTCAAGGTTGGGGCGCTGGCCGGGCCTGGGGCATGAGGCGGAGGTGTCTGCGCGGGTCGGTTTGCGGGGCGACAGGAACCTCTGCCCAATTTGGCGGGGTGGGCAATAGGGAGGCGTCGGTCGCAGCTTGGGGGGCGTCTTTCCCAGCCCGAGAGGGCATGGGGCGGGGTGGTCATGGGGACAGCAGTCCCACTCTGGGAAGAGCATGGGAACCCAGGAGGTCTTTGTCCTAGTTTGGGGGACACCAGGGGAGCCATAGGGCAGCTTAGGGGTAGGGAGGGGCCGTAGGGAAGGACTTTGGTTTCACCTCTGGGAGCCTCTGTCTTGTTTTGGAGGAGTTGTGGGGGCCCCCCGAGGTCTCTGCCCATTCTGGGCGGGTTGCAGGGACAGAGGGGTGTGTGTCCCAGCCTGGGAAAGCCATCGCTGGCTGGCAGTAGGGTGTTTATTCCATCTGGAGGTGTTGGAGATCAACGTATCCCAGCCCGATGTGTGTCCCCTCTGGGTGATTGTGGGGCAGTAAGGAATCTACTGAGGTGAGGTCAGGAGGAGACCCACCTGGGGTAGGGTAGTCTGTATGTCCAGCCCAGGGTTCCCTTCCATGCCCAGAGGAAATCTCTCCGGGAGCGTTGGCTAATGGATGGGGCCGCTGAAGGGCCACAGCAGCCTGAGGACCCCGGCTCCAAGGACCCCCAGTCGCCGGAAGGCCAGGCTCAGGCTCGCATCAGAAACCTAGAAGACAGCTTGTTCACGTGAGTGTCCGCCACCCTCCCACCCGGGTGCCCAGCCAGACCTTTGGATCACTGGGGAAGGGGGCAAATTGAGTTGAGGACCCAGCACCCAGCAGCCTGCTTCTCTCCCTCAGACTCCAGAGTGAGCTGCAGCTGTTGCAAAGTGCGTCCACAGGTGCCCAGCACAAACCCTTGGGTAGGCTCACCTGGCGCAGACAGGTGAGGAACTAAGAAGTGGTGGGTAGGGGAGGGGGTGTGGCCTTCTCCAAGAGCCCTTCAGCACGATACATTGAACCCACCTCTTGCTACTTCTTTGCTTGGAGGGGGTCGGCAAGTAGGTTTCCCTGCCTCAGTTTCCCCATCTCTAAAGTGGGAATAGCAACAGCACACCGTGGAAGCACCCCTGGGGGTGTCCAGGAGATCATAGCACTGGTAGCAGGCACAGGGAAGTTTTGGATTTGGGTTGTTAGTATGGTCCTGTTGAGGAATGTCGGCAGAAAATGTGGGCAGATGTCCCTGGGATCCGGCCTTGGAAGTCAGAAAGGGTCACCAGAGATATAGTGATTGTCTAAAAATGAAATAAAAAGGGTTGGGGGTGTGACGCAATAGCAGAGCAGTGCCTGGATGCCCAGTGCCCTTTTGTTACATCCCTGGTTCAGGAAAAAAATAACAATACTCTGGCTCTCTAGGTTTTCCTTGAAGTCCAAAAGATTCAGCAAGGTTCACACCCGTCCGCAGAGGGCTGGGTCTTCCACAGTGCCACCCCTCCTGTCTTCCCTTAGCCCCAGGAGCTTGCTGGGTGCTGGGTTGGGGGAAAGCTCTTGTTGGGGTTGGGGTCGGCCGGCCGTTCCTGGCTGGAGATGGGCAAGGTTTGGTCTGGGCCTCGGGGAGCTCACGGTCTAGGGGAGGAGACAGGTACGGAGCTGTGAGGGGGGGAGCCTGAGTGTGGAGGGTCACCCAGGGGAGGCCGACCTGTGGAACTGGGGGTGGAGCCCAGCCACAGAAGGCTTGCCTGGCATGTGTGAGGCCCTGGGGGTCCCAAAAGCATCAGTAAGTTAAAAGGAGAAGTGACATCTAGGTTGAATTCGCAAAGAGTGGAAAGGACAGTCCTTACAAAGGCCTGACGGCTGGAAAGAGGAAGATGGAGTCAGAGACTGAGGCCATCCTTGGAGCCGGGCCTAGGTCGCCTGCAGAGCTGTTGCCTGCTGCTCTGCCTGAGCCCATCTTTCTCCTCTTAATCCTTTGTTTCATTCCAGCCACAATGACCCTCTCTTCTATTCCTCTAACTTGCCTAGCTCATGGTGGCCTCAGGACCTTTGTACTTGCTATTTCCTCTGCCTGGAATGCCTTTCCCCACCTCTTGACTCCCGACTGCTTCATCACACCCTTTGGGTCTCTGTTCCGTCACCTCTATCGGGAGGCCCTCTGCATTTAATACCTACAGGAGGCCCCTTCTCGCCTCCCAGCCACTCCCTAGCTCCTCTTCCTGACTTTGTGCCTCTCCATAACCCTTCTCACTGCCTGGCATGATCTATTTCTTTATGTTTATGTTTCTTTCTTCTTGTTTTTATGTTGTTGTTGTTCCGGTGCCAGGGATTGAACACAGGGCCACTCGACCCCTGAGCCACCTCCACAGCCCTATTTTGTGTTTTATTTAGAGACAGGGTCTCACTGAGTTGCGTAGCGCCTTGCTTTTGCTGAGGCTGGCTTTGAACTCGCGACCCTCCTGTCTCAGCCTCCCGAGCCGCTGGGATGACAGGCGTGTGCCCCCCGCGCCCAGCTTATGCCTGTTTGTCACCTCCTTCCTTCACGGAAATGAGTCCAGTAACAATAGTCTTGAGCGTCATCGTTGTGTGCCCTGACCCAGTAGCTGGCAGAGGAGGCTCCTAACACAGGGATCATCTCTGTGAGCACAGCCTTGTCGAAGCACCTGTCGTGTGTGACCTGCAGCAGTGGGAGACACACAGGCTCGGGAGGCTGAGGGGAGGGGCACTGGCCCGCAGGGAGGCTGGAGGAGGGGACAGGGCCCACCTGACCTGGTCTCTGCCCTCCCTGCAGAGTCACCGTCCTGTCTCCCAACCCACCATGGAGGCGGGTCTTGCAGGTGGGTGTTGGAGCCCCAAGGGATGAGGAGGAGGGTCCCTTGGTCCTTCCTTGCCCTGACCTGCCCTTTCCTCTCCTCTCCTGACCTACGCCCAGGCCAGTCTGAGCCGGACAAGAGAGCTTCCCTGCCCACTGGACTGGTGGGCGCATCCCCAGAGGTCCCCTCTGAGCCCCAGGAGGAGGCTGCGGGGGTTCTGCCACCACAGAGGCAGGTCCCTGGGGCCGTGGGGACCTCCCCAGAAGCCAACGGCCCCTGCCCTGGACCCAGCCCTGGCAGGGAGCAGGAGCTGAGCCTGGGGGCGGCGGCAGAGCAGGGTGTAGTGGAGGCCAAAGCAGCGGGCGTGCTGGAGGTGGTGTGGGAGGGCCTGCGGGCCCCGGAGGACTGTGCCACGGGGACGTCGGGCCTGGAGCTGGAGGCTAGGGTGGAGGAGGTGGTGCTGGAAGCCATTGGGGACAGGCAGGGGGCTGGCAGCACCGAGCTCCCAGCCTGGGTGAAGGAGGACAGGGGTGTGGCGGAGGTGGTCTGGGAGGGGCTGGGGGGCACCGAGTCGCAGGCCGGCGGGGAGGTGGGCCCAGCGGCCACACTGACCAGCTCGCCAGGGCTCCGGCCGCGACTGCAGGGAGATGCTTCCCAGGAGGGAGAAGGTGCTCCCCGGGGCAGCCCCGAGGGCGAGGGGCAGGGGGGCTCTGGAGGAGAGGAGGGGTCCTTCATCTGGGTGGAAAGAGCGACTCTCAGCGAGGACTGGGAGGAGCTGCTGATGGAGGGGCTGGAGGGGCCCGTGGTGACAGAGGGGGGAGGCCAGGAAGCCTGGGAGGGGGGGAGGAGGCGAGCAGAAGGATCCCCGGGGGCCGGAGGTGAGGAAAGTGAGGCAAAGCCAGGGACAGGGAGGGCCACAGCTGTGAATGCAAGTGAGGGCCCACAGCAGCCCGAGGGAGGAGGAGGTGAGGGAGGGGGCGCGGCTGAGGAGCCCTTGGGCACTGAGATGAAAGATGGTGAAGGACCCTTGAGGGCACAGGAGGAAAGGGGCCAGGAGAAGCCAGAGGCAGAGGAAAGAGCTGAGGACCCGTCCAGGGTGGAGAGAAAAGAAGTCGGGGGGCCTTTGGGGACAGAGAAGGAAAGAAGGGAAGAAAAGCAAGCAGCAGAGAAAGACGAGGAGGAAGCTCTGGGAGTGGAGGGAAAAGGAGGTGAGCAAATGCCAGGGGCAACTGAAGAGCCATCAGAGGCAGAGGGGGAAGGAGGTGAGGAAGCCTCGGGGGCAGAGGGGGAAGGAGGTGAGGAAGCACGGGAGACAGAGAGGGAAGGAGAGGAAGTCTCAGGGGCAGAGGGGGAAGGAGGTGAGGAAGGACTCGGGGCACAGAAGACCCAGGGGTCTGAGGAAGAGCTGAGCTCAGGAGGGCAGAGAGAGTCTGGGGAAAGGACCGAGTCCCAGGGGGAGGTGAGCGAGGCCGGGGCCACCCTTGGGGTCAAGCAGGAGCCAGGGCCAGGGGAGGGACCGCGGCCCCTGGAGAAGCAAGGAGCAACCCTGGAGGAGGAAGCCGGGCAGCTCCGAACCCCTGCGGAGAGCCAGGGGCCCCCGGGGGACACCATGCCCCTCCTGAGAGCCAGCCCGGCCCCACAGCAGCCCACCGAGAGGCAGCCTCTGCTCCAGCGGGGGAGGCCCAGAGCCAACCCCAGTGCCCACCCCGCGCCCACCTATGCACCCGCCCGGCAGCCTGAGCCGGCCGCCCCGGCCGAGGGCGAGGAGGCAAGGGGCCCCAAGCAGAAGACGTGCCAGTGCTGCGCCCTGATGTGAGCCCGCGCCCCCAGCCCCCGCCCGGCTCCGCCCACAGCTACCTCACCTCTTGGCACCCGGCAGGGGGTTCCAGGCACAGACGGCCCCACCAGACCAGCTGGCCTGCACGTCCACCTGGCCCACTGCCTGTGACCCTGGCTCCCGTCTGTGACAAAAGCCTTTATACTTGAAAATAAAACCTTAAAGCACTCGGACAGCTTGACTGTGTGCGTGGTGTTAGCAAAGAATCATTCATCGTCTCCTGGGGGGAAACTGAGGACGCGCTTCCCCTCGGAGCCAGCGAGAGGCCAGAGTCAGTCCGCAGCAAAAACACCTCAGGCTGCAGTAGCTATTAGGACACAAGCGTTTATTGTGGCTCTGCTCCACGCGGTCCCTCAGGGATTCAGGCTCGGATCCACGCAGTTACCTCCCATGTCCCCTGGGGTGTGGCCCCAGCGAGCGCCTGTGCCAGCTCACAGGAAAGGGAGCAGGTGTAGAGAAGAGCCTCCACCAGGGTTTTAAGGCTGCCCACGTGATGTTGGCACAGGGCACTTCTGCTCAGGTTCCGTCTGCCCCCACCCTGTTGTCAAGACCTCAGTCCACGACTGACCTAGCTGCAAAGGACCGTGCCCAAGTGCAGTTCTGTTCTGGCAGGACAGACTTCCGGAGGCAGCGGCGGCGGCTCTCGGATTGCATACATTTTCTTTCACTTCCTTGTCCATTCCCTGCTGGGGCTGGGCCCTTCTCTGAAGGGGTCCTTCAACCTCAGCGCTTCCTGGCTGGGTGTCCTCAGACAAGTGACTCAGCCTCTCTGAGCCTCAGTGTCTTCATCTGTCAAGAGGTTTAACCCCGGGGCTGGGGAGCAGCATCCATGAGCACCCTTCTGGCTTGTCCTGCAGCCCCCAGCTTGGGGCAAGGTTCAGACCAGATCTTGAAACTTGGGGGGCCTCAGGAGGCCCAGTTCCTCTGGTGTGGGCAGGAAATGTTTCTCATACCCAGAGTGAAGTGGGGCGGGGGACTGGGGGGGCTCCTTAGGTGCTGGTGGCTCCATCTCCTCTACCTTCAGGACAGGCAAGTCAGTCAGAGGGGGGGCCTGGCACACCTCCTGGGAAGAGATGAGACTGAGACCCTCTCCTCCTGTCCCCCCACTTCCTCACACCCCCTGTCCGGGACCCCTAACTCCCCAGAGGGCTCTCCCAGCTGACCTGTTTGGGGTGTTCAGCATCAGGGACGGAGCCCAGGCCGCTGGACCACGGAGCCACGCGCCAGCCCTTCTCTTGACCCAGAGTCTGGCTAAGGTGCCAAGGCTGGCTTTGAACCCGCGACCCCCGCTCCGCCCCAGGAGTACCTGGGATTCCGGAGCCCCCTGGCGCCTGGCACAGTGGGCGGGCGCCTACCTCCACGTGGGTCTGCCCGGCGCTGCTGTTGGCGGGGTCAGGAACCTTCTCCCACACCCAGTGGGGCAGCACCTTCTGTCGCAGGTGGAGGCACCTGTGAGCAGGGAGGAGTCAGAGCAGCTGTCCCTGTGGCCAGAGGCGGGCCCAGGGGCAGAAACCGGGCTGTCACAGACCGCAGGCCTCCTCCCAACCCCCACGGGAGCTCAGCTGGTGCCCGCGCCAGGCACCAGGGCAGAGACCCGCGGGCCTGACCCCTCACCTTCGAGCCATGACAAGGCTCAGGCCGCAGCCCACCAGGAGCAGCCCCCACAGGGCCAGGACACCCGGCAGAACTCTCCATGGCACCGTGTTATCTGGAAGGTGGGAGGAGAGACCGTGTGGACACCAAGGAGGGACAGGCCCACGCCGAGGCAGGGCCTGGGGAGGGGAGCGGGCAGGGCCCGACGGGAAGGGCCTAGGGAGGCACAATCCCGGGGCGGGGGTGCGGCCTCGAGGAGGGCAGGTCAGGGTCAGGTGTGGGGTGAAGCTGCAGGTCACACGCCTGCCTGAGTGTCACCACAGCATTCAGCAGACTCGAAAGGCCTCCAAGGACTTGGGGTGCTCCGTGGCAGAGCACCCATCTGGCATGCACCGGGGTCTGGGTTCAGCACCCCTAAAAAATAATCCTCCCCATCAAGCAGAAGGTTGTCCACCCATTGCGGTCTGTGTAGTGACTCTAGTGTCCCCTACCCTCCAATGGAGCCTGCAGTTCCACCCCAGGCCCCTACCTGGTAGGTGAAGCCAGAGGCTGGGGCCAGGTGGGCCCTGTCCTGCAATGGTGGAGGCAGTCACCCACAGCTCACAGGGACCCCAGTGAAGGTTGGGCAGAGTGGCGATCCGGGTGCTGCTGCTCACTGAAGAACACAACCAGAGAGGTTGGGGAGGTGGCAGTTCTGCCTCAGGACCTTGGTACGTGCTCCTTGTTCTGTTGGTGACACTGTCCCCCAGATACCCAGGTGGTTCCCTGCTTCTCTCTCTCAAATGTCACTCCTCAGGGAGCTCTTCCCTGAATACCCCTTTAAAACTGTGCCCCTGCACCCCCGCCACCTTCCCTGCTTTCTTCTCAGCCCAGAGCTCATCACCATCTGGCCCACGCGCAGACAGTATTTGGCTTGTCTGTCGGTGGGTCACCCGTTAGAAAGTCAGGTCCCAGGCTCAGGCTGTAGCTCAGCGGAACAGTGGTGCCCAGCCCGCTGGGGACCCCGGGTTTAGTCCCCAGTACAAATGGAAAAAGAAAACAGAAATGATCAAGGGCACGCGTGTGGTCCAGCTACCGGGATGAGGTGTTGGGCCCCGCAGCCCAGGGTCAGCTTGGGCAACGTAGTGAGGCCCTGGACTGAAAACAAAAGTGACTCCTTAAAGGCCACATTCCCAGGGGCTCTGTCAGCGCCTAGCACACACAGTGACACATCCCTCCCCTGTCTGGAACCCGGTGGGAGTTGGCAGAGGCATTTAGACCTCCCAGAATGACTCTTATTTACTTTTTTAACAAAATGAATTGAGGCTGGACACGGTGGCACATGCCTGTCATCCCATTGGCTCAGGAGGCTGAGACAGGAGGCTTGCAAGTTAGAGGGCAGCCTCAGCCATTTAAGGAGGCCCTAAGCAACTTAGTGAGACCCTGTCTCAAAAAATAAAAGGGTTGGGGCTGGGGCTCAGTGGAAGAGCGCTTGCCTAGCGTGTGCGAGGCACTGGGTTCGATCCTCAGCACCGCATATAAGTAAATGAATAAAATAAAAGTCCATATACAACTAAAAAATATTAAAATATAAATAAATAAAAAGGGCTGGGGATGTGGCTCAGTGGTTAAGCACCCTGGGTTCAATCTCTAGTACAAAGTAAATAAATAAAAACCTCCTTTTTTTATTTGCTGGGGACTGAACCCAGGGATGCTCTAACCCGAGCCACACACACCCCCCCAGCCCTTTTTATTTTTCATTTTGAGACAGGGTCTCACTGAGCGGCCCAGGCTGGCCTCCAACTTGTGATCCTCCTGCCTCAGCCTCCCGAGTCTTTGGGATTACAGCCATGCACTACCTCGCCTGGCTTCAATACCGGTTTATTTTACCAAAAAAGGAATCATATCAGAGTTTCATAATCCTTTTATCTTTTCCACTTAATAAGATATGTCAGGCATCTTTCATTGTCAATAAATATAGATTGGAGTCTTCATTTTTAATAGCCCAATGAGAGGCCATTTCACTGATAGCCAAGAGGGTTATTGTCCCTTAAGGAACTAATGACATCATGTCCCCATGGGAGGAGGGGGAGCACAAGGGGCCCGTGTGGGCCGGGGGACATGGGGCAGGAGGCAGCAGGCTCACCATTGGTGCAGTCGGAGGGGTTCGTCCCACTTCTTGAACACAACGTGTAGTGAGTAAGGTGGCCCTGGAGCTGGTGTCTTGGGACCTCCTCCCACGCCACCGTGGGAGTCCCTGGGGGGTCATCCTGGAGTCTCCAAAGGGTCGGCCCTGCCAGGGGTGCTGGGGAGAAGTCCGGTAGGTGGAAGCTTGCTGGGGTCCCAGGACCCCCCAGCCCTCCAGCCTCATTTCCTACCTCGTTCCTCCCGGAAAGCCCAGACCGAGGAGGCGGGGGCCAAGCCCCCAGGAAAGACCGCTGTCACTGTGATCCGATAGGGCACCCCTCCTTGGAAAGTCCCTGGGAGGCAAAGGGACAAAAAGCGATTTAAAGCCGGCTTTCCCTCCCTGCCCACTTCCCACTTGGGAGTGTCTTCACTGGGTCCCCAGAGGACACCCTGGGATGGGGACTGGGGTGTGGTCTATCTGGAAGGCCACCCAGAAAAACCAGGAGGGCCGTGAGAAGGGACGAGGAGAGGGAGAGGGAGAGGGAAGGGCCAGCAGACCCTGGTGAGGGGCCGCTCTCCGTCCCTGGGCCTGACCCCCAGCAGCCCCAGAGGGGAAAGGAGGAGTCCGGTCCCCAGGGGGACCACCGCGCTCAGTGCCGCTGGGAACCTGTGGGGGCAGCAGAGAGCAGCCGGGTTCTCCCCACCGCGGATGACCATGACCGTCCGCGGATGACCATGACCGTCCCTGGCTGCGCCGAGGGTCCCCTTCCCCAGCACTTCCTGCCCCTGACCAGAGAGCGGCCTCGGCCAGGAAGAGGCTGCAGGCAGCCGGGAGGCGCGGACTGGGCGCTCGCAGGGGAGACCTGGGCGGGCTGGGCAGCGCCCCGTGGTCGGGGTGCCCTCGAGGTCCCGTCGAAACCCGCGGCTTCTGCACAGCGTCCCCGAGCCGGGGGTCTCAGGGCCGGGGTCCTTCCCCGTGGCTCAGGGGTACTCGTGGGCCATGGGACTGTCCCAGCTTTCTCACTCGCGGCCCTACTGTCCCCCCGGGTGCTGCATCCCACAGACGGCTCCCAGGACCCGCTCAGACCCCAGGACCCGGCAGACCCAGGACAGGCTCCCGTGGGGGGCCGCGGACGGACAGGCGTCTCAGATGCGACACACAGAAGCCCCGCCAACCAGGACCCCCTAACCTGAGCCTGCTTGCTTCTCCCCCAACCAGGGTCCCCACCTGATCCTGTCCCACCGTTTCCCTCCCCAACCTTCAGCTCCTGCCCTTCCCCGCCCCACGGTCCCTTCCCCCCAGAGCAGCCAGAGGGCACCTGTGAGCACTTGGGTGAGGGCACTTCCCTCCTCCGTTCAGAATCCTCTATGGCTCCCACCTCACTCTGCCCCAAAGCAAAGTCTTCCCCAAAGT